CCCCAAAACCCCAAAACCCCAAAACCCCAAAACCCCTTAACTTCGAATTTACATGAAGTTATACGTTTTTTAAATGCAGAAATAATAATTTTTAAGTTTGAATTATCAAATAAATTTAAAATGAATTCAGACGGTGAAAGTGCTGATGAAAATCAATTTGACTAGTATCAAAAATTCTTTAAAATAGACGATGATGGAGAAGGATTTGATAAATCAGATGAATACTCTTTTCACGATTCTTAAACTTCAAAAAAGTAGGGCACTCTGACAAATAAACCTTCTGCAATAACTAGTTCATAAATAAAAAAGCAAACTACTGTTACTGCTGCAGTGAATAATAAACTTGGAACTAAAGCTCAAATAAAATAGAAATCAGAGGAGAGTGACAACTATGATGATGATTTCGGATAAGAGATATAGATTAAAGGCACTCAAAATAAAAACTAAAATGAGGAATCAGATGAATTTGTTGATGTTTCAGATGATTTTCAAGCCTTTCAATATGATAAGAAGGAATTCGATGTAGATGCAAGTGACAGTCAGCAGAGTAGTAAATTCCCAGTATTCCAAGAAAATCAAAAGAGCAATAAGTTTACAGTTAACTAGGAATAGGAACCTGATTTTCTTACATCTTGTAATGTTTTTAAAAAGAATGCCATGACGAAATCTTTAGTACCTTTATATCCAATCGGATAAAATAATCAATTCAACTAGTAGGAAGATGAGATCATTCTCAGAGCAGATAGTAAAATGAGTGATTCGGCTAAAGAAATATAATTTAAGCAGTAAAGTGAGATTCAATCTCAATAGGATGTTGGGTTTGATGATGATATCGATGATGAAGTGTTCAAAGAAGAATCTATTTAGGATGAATTTGATGATGAGCAATAAGTTGAAAGCAATCGTAGTAATGTTAATACCAAAAATGCTCAAGGTTATACTTAAAATATGGTTAATATGGGGAGTGTAATTCCTAATCCAAAGATAGTTTCTCAAATTCCTAATTCTTCTACTTAGACTAACACAATTATAAACAGATAATAGATATCTCATACCAATCCTTTAGATACTAAATTATTCGAATAAAATATTGGGAAAAATTCTAAGAATAATGAGGAAACACATTAATTTCCTATTATTGAGTATGAGAAGGACGATGATGACGATATGGCAGAAATTCATGATAAGATAAATGCTATTCCTTCAAGATTTTCTGATGCAGGATCCCCTGATAAATTTGACAAGTAAGCTACAGGTAAAAAAGAAGAGAAAAAGTAACAGCCAACTTAAAAGGTTGACAAAAAACGGACTGGAAGTAAAGCAAGACCCTAAACTGCAAAACCAAATGTTTCTAAGCCAAGAACATAAAGTAAACCTCCTAAATAAGAAACAAAAGAGATAAAGAAAAAAATAAATATAAATGCATAAGCAAATCAATAGGTACAACCAGAGGAGGAAGAAAAATTACCTGATGAATAAGCAAAGCAAAGCCTTATAGAAAAAGTAACTAAAAACCTATTGCAAACGAAAAATAAATCTAGCAGAACTATTATTAGGCCTGAAAGTGCAAAGCCAAAGGTAGGTTATGAAGGCAATCCAAATAACCTTGTCAAGCCCAAACCTATATCAGCAAATCATAATGATCTTACTGCTCTACTTTTAAAGAGTGAAAAATTCCAAAAGATTAAGAAAATTAAAGAGGAAAACAAAAAAAAGCAAGATGTTGTTGTTAGAAATCTTAAGAATGTGAAGGTTATATAATAAAAGCAATAGGAAGCCAGAATATAATAGAAAGCGGAGGTATTAAAGAAATAAGCTTTAGATATATTGGAGGATGATAGCTTCTTTGAACAAGCAGCATCCATTAAAGGAGATTAAGGTGTTGCTCCAGGAATGAACGCTGATCTTGAGGATTTCAACGATGATTTTGAACAAATTGAGCCTGAATAAATAGTTGGCAAAAATACTAGGCAGATTGCGGCTATTAGATAATAAATGGAATAGGAAAAATCTCAAAATTACTAAACAAAAACAGAAGGAAATACATAAAAATTAGCACCAATGAATCAAAGTTAAACTGTTACAAAATAATTAGCTAGATAAACCCCTCAAAGTATAGCTCTATAAAAGTAAAAAGAATAAACTTAAGCTGGAAATACAGCCAAAAACAGTTAAGTCTTAGGAGGAGACAACCAAGAGAGGTTTAATGAAATTCTGCGTCAAAAGAAAGAAAAATTAGTGAACAAAGACGTACTAGGCTTTATGATGGAAAAGAATCTTAGAAACTAAAATGAAAAGAAAGAAGCACTTACTTAAAATATTAACAGACTAGCCAAAGATTTCGAGGTTAAGGATGTAGCTAAGTAAACCTAAGCTATTTAGCAATAATAAATAAAGGGAAGTGATAAAGTGCCAGAACATGCAAAGTTAGTAATAGATGATGAAAAGCTTGTCAAAGAATTAGCTGACCTAAAAAAACGGTTTAAAGAAACTATCCTCGAGAATATGAAAGTTTGTAATAACATTAAGATGGTCGAGAAAAAGAAAAGAGATAAGGAAACATTACTTGATAAAGTTATGAGTGATAAAAATTTGATTACTATAAATGGAGCTCTCACTGTATAGTAAGAGAGCAAAAATAGCACGGGGTTATTATATGGAATAAAACTTGAAGATATTCCTGACTTTGACAAGCTTGCTTAAGAAAGAATCAATCCACTAGACTCAATTGTTAAGAAATTTGAGCAAAAAGGTATCACTATAGAATAAGCTTTCGATCTTTTCGATGATGATGAGGATAGAGTCCTTACTATGCAAGAGATTAAGAAGGGAATCAAGAATTAAAGAATTGAATTACTCGATTCAGAATACTAGGAGCTCATTAAAGTCATCGATAAAAATTCAGATGGTGTTTTAACAATGGAGGAATGGGTTAATTGTCTGAATCCTAAATATGATGCTGAGAAAGAATTCAGATAAATTATGTAGAATGTTGACATAGACGATCCTCTTATACTTGAGGAAAGAATCTTAGATCTTAGATATAGATCTGAAAGAATAGAAAAAGAATTGGAGTTCTTAAGAGAGACTTCTGCAAATGAATAAGGAATAGACTTGAAGGAGAGGATCAGGAGGAAAATGAAGAATCCTATGGAAAAAAAGTATGCAAACAAAATTCTTGCTTTAGAAAGTAGACTTGCTAATAAGATTTCAAATACTATGTTTGAAAAAATAATGCTTGAAGATAAGATCAAGTAAAGTCTAATGGCCAAAGATTAGGTATAATAAGATTATTATGATGCTAGAAGAGTAAAGGATAGACTAGCAACTGAATTTGATATGAGATTAGAAACAATTTCAGGCTCTCTAAATGTTCTTGACTAAAAACTCAATGAAGTTACCTAGCTAAATATGGTTCTTAAAACAGAAAGAGATGTTTTTAAGCAAAAAATACATAGACTATAGATAAGTTTAGCCTCAATGACTGATATGGAGGCAAAGCTAGATAAATAATTAGAGGAAATTCTTGGAAGAGCGCTGACTGGCTAAGATCTTGAGATGCTTTATCAATTGGACCTAAAAACACTGAATTAACTTAATTCTGGTTAGAATGAAGTTTTCGACAACTATGTCAAGCAATTTGTAATTAATTACTTGAATTTCATCTTATATTTAGGCTTGTATCACTATTCAGAGAATGTTCAGAGGAAGTATGGCGAGACATGAATATGCTATTATGAAATTCCAAGTCAAAAGACTTAAAAGAATACTTGTGGTAATAGAATATATTTCCTTTAAAAATCTGTTATAGCCACTTGTAAAAGAGAGATTCCAAATGAAGAGAATAGAGGCTACAATTTTGATTTAGAGATTCTACAGAAGACATCGCGATAGATAGAAGCATTTGGAAAACTTGAGAAGAAAAAATATGATGAGAAGACTTAAGGAAGAGGAAGACGATAGATTTTATCAGGATATTGAAAAGTAGAATGCAGCAGCAATGACTATTTTAAGACACTGGAGATCGTATAAAAGAAGATAAATGAGAGACTTAGGGATGATTTCAAAAATAAATCAGAAGTTGACTTTCGGTAGAGAAATTGAAGTCATTTACCTTGCTCAAATCAGGAAATGCTTCATTTGTAAAATTTAAAACGCTTTAAGATTCTGTACTCCTGTAAGTAGATCCATTTTTAAAACTTTTATAGTGTAAAGACGCACTTTATTGTGATAATTGCTACATTGACTATCATATAAGAGGTCATAGAAAGTTGCATTCTTATAAGCGTATTCGTTACGGCGATAAGAAGTTTAATGAAGAGGATGAAAACAGAGAAAGGGAAATTTTCCTTAAAAAAGAAAACAAGAACCCAAACAGCTTTCAACTAAACATTGATAAGGTACAAGAAACAAAACTTATTCTAGACAAACCTCCAAGCAATAAAATAAATACTACTAATATTGCTGATGGTAGCTTCAGCTTTAGAAATCAATAAGCCAATAACTTCACATTGAATAATATCAACGAGGATTCCTTTGCCAGAGATTCAAAAAGGTTTATGGAAAATAATGATACATTTAGAGTTAATGATAAAGAACTTATCAAGAAGGATAGTGATGTAAGAGATAAAGAGACTCTAGAAACCTATAATTAAGAACTTCAAAAGATTTAGTTGATGATACATAAAAATGAGAAATAAACTGATGAAGGATTCCTGGGGTAGGTAAAAAGGAAATGCAAGAATATTTAGAGTGAATTGTTTGCTTTTATAGACGATACAGAGATCGTCAGATTATCTGAATTAATGCTATAACTTACTGAATATCCTAAAATCTTTAATCTAACGATAGAAGAAATAGAAAAATTGTGTGAGATAGCGGAGAGTAAATGCTAATGCGATCGCCCCTCCAATTCTGAAGAAGATTCGATGGGTATCTATATTGATATGAATATGCTTCAAGGAATGATGGATGCTTAAGCTTGAGGAAATTGATTTGCAAAGGTTTTAGTGAATCAATTGAAAATTTAATTTTAACACCTTGATAAATTAATTTCATAATCAAGCATTTCTGATACTTTAATTTCATTAACTTGTTCAATTAACTAATATTTTATTATTAATTATCTAGTAATGAATATCTAAGCTAGAAATGCTGTAATAAGCATACTTATACTTGGGGCTAGTGTTAAGGCTCTAGATCCTTTATCATTCCAACATTTAGGCTAGGCTGCTGAATTTGAGAAGTAAAAGTTTTCTCATGCTTTTTCTATGGATTCATATTTAGAATCTTGGAATAAACTAGTAAATCTATTCTCCCCATCTGAGGAATAGAAGCAAGAACAGTGGGACAAACTCTAGAAAACTGGAATGATGCGATCCGGTGAGGGAAGTGCCGAGGAAGTTATGCAAAGGAGGAAAAAGTTAGAAGAGAGACAGAGATTAGACCAATTGCTACAAAGTGGGGATTTCTCAAGTGACCCAATAGAGAACAAGAAATTATACGATCACTACTTGAAGCATGTTAATTAGAATTCTGTTAAGAACGATGACGTGGATCTTATCCCATACATCTCACCGTTTGGGAACACTCACTACATGAGTCTTCAGTAAATTGACTCTTAACAATTGAAGAGTTAAATGCAAGGAAGAACTCTCTAGACTACTGGTAGTGCTGTTAGTCTTTACAACCTGGTTGAGCCATATCCTACATCATGTAAAAACAATGGTCAACTAGTCAACTAGACCTAAGTGTACTATTTCTGCAAACCCACTGGCTAGGTGGGAGGCTCATTCTCAAGAGTAGATAAGAACTCTTATGACTTGATAATTGCTAACTACTCATCTCTTTATGAATGTGCTGCTCAGAATACTGTTCGACAGGTATGCTTTTGCCCCTAAGGCTTTTACGACTATCAATGCTCAACTTAATTGTACAGATAGTGCTTCGTAAATATAACAGATCCCCCTTTGTACAAAGGCTGCAAAAAAGAAGATTCCCCTTACTATCTGTACTCAGTTCCAGGTTATGACCCCTGCTTTTATTTGGACTTTACACAGAAATAGAACATAGGGTTCATTCTTACATGTAAATATACAGATGAGGTCAGCAGTATAAATTCAAAATCAGAGAATATCGGTTATCAATACAGAGATGTTGTATAACCTGCTTAGGTTCCAGAATTCTAGTATACAGCTGTCAATCCTACAACATAAATGAAGACTCTTATTGGGCAATCTGCCTAGGTTCAAATATCTATCTTTGATTGGAAATGGCTTTCTTAACAAGCAAACTTTATGAAGAATATTTCTGATCCACTAATTCTTGCTGGTCTAAAAGAAGATAGAATAGAGGTAGATTTTGCTAAACTCATGAAAAGTGATTAAGAAAAGAAATCAAAATATATTGCTGGAGGAAGAGCTTATTTTGAGGCTGATGTTCTTGGCTAACTTATCTATAGCTACACTTCAAAAGGATTTTTTGATTAGGCAAATTATGTGGAGCCAGCAGCTCCTGAGAACATCACTTGGAAGATCATTGTAGGAGTTGTAGTACCAGGAGTTGTTATTGGAATCATAGGCTCAATAATCTTATACTGCCAAATCAAAAAGAGAAAGTAGAAGTTGAACCATATTGATTGAATAACTCACTTATCATTAACTATAGAATTGGATCTTGCAGCAATGATAAATAAAGATATATTATAGAGAAATCAATAATTTTATTCTCTTAACTTTTAATTTATTCCGATTATCTACTAAAATTAGCAGATACGGGGTTTTGGGGTTTTGGGGTTTTGGGG